GTTTCTTTGGGTGTTTTGGGTGTATTACTAAAAAAGGAATTTTTTAGGAATTTTGAGATTTGCGGGAAAGAGTTTTTTTTTTTTTTTTTTTTTTTCTATATATTATTTTATTAAATTTTTTAATTATTGATATAATATTATAAAATTTTTATATTGATATTGATTATTATTGTTTTTTTTTAATATTATAAAATATAGTTTTGAATATATTTAATTTAACTATTAATAAGTAAATATTATTGAATTTAATAATAATTATTATATTAATTTTTAAAAATACAAGTTATTTTTATTTTTTAAAAAAAAAATTACAAATGAAAAACTTTTTTTTTTAAAATTTATGTCTTAAAAAAAATTAATTAATCAAAAAAATAATAAAATAGAAGATAATATTTGAAAATGAAAATAAAAAAAATTTATTATAAAAATATTTATAAAAAAAAAAAAAGAATATGAGAAAAGAAAAATAATAAAAATAATAAAATAATAATAAAAAGTAAATAATTTAAAAATAAAGTTCAAATATAAAAAGAAGAAATAGAAAAAACAGTTTTTTTTTTATAATAAAATATATATTGTTTAATTATTTAATAATAAAACATTTATCTCTTTTTAAAAATAGATTTTATTTGATATGCAAGTTTTTATTTGAAGATTAATTTATATACATAATTAAATAAATTAATAGATACATTTATTTATTATTTAATTTAATGTGATGATAATAATTTAAATAATACAATACATTTAAGAAATCTCTCTTTTATAGAAATATAAAATAGGAATTGTATGTCGAATTTGAACTTACCTTTTAAGGCTGACCTGATCACCGTTTAATAGTTATCCCGGTTTAGATACTTGATAGGCCGTCACGTGTTCGTGGGTTCTTCTATAAAAAAAGAATCCACTGATGCTCGTATCTTCAACCATGTCTTCTAAAGTTGTTGTTTACGGAGGTTCCGGCCATTTAGGTGCCGTTTTGGTTTCCTTGTTCAAGAAAAACAATTGGGTATGATCTTTTTAAATATAAACATGAGGCTTTAAAATTCATTGAAACTCATTGTCCGTTTGCGATACCAGGAAGTTACTTCGGTAGGTACTCGTCCAAATTCGGATGCCAATCATAACATCGTTGTCTCGGTCGAAGATTCTTTAGAAGTTCAAGGCGAAAAGGTTTTAAAGCAAGTAAGCGAGCAATTGCAAAGTGGAGAGAAGTATGACGTAATTCTAAATGTTTCCGGCGGATTTACCATGGGGAACACATCCTCCAAAGGTTCGATGTTCCAAGTCGAAGTTAATTGTCAACTTGTAGAGATTAACCGTGATTTTCTTTTGGCAGATTTCCTAAAGAGCGCCGATATAATGATTAGCAGGATTCTTTATTCTTCTCTGGTTTCAGCACAATTGGCGGCACATCATCTAAAAAGGTGAACCTCTTAACCGTTCAGGTGCCTTTTCTTATATTACAAAATAACATTTTTTGTTTAATAAGCGAAGGACTTCTTACTCTGACTGGTGTTGCACATCTCAAGGGCACACCTGGTAAAATGGTTAATGCTTCATTTTCATTTAAAGACCTCCATTCTTATTCCTATTCGAATGTGAAACAATATAGGTTATATTGGATATGGGGTTGCAAAAGCCGGAGTCCACCAGCTATTTCAAAGTTTGGTGAATAAAGGAAGCGGTCTACCAAAGAATGTCAAAGTTACAGCTCTCCTGCCGTTTGTATCTTCTGATTCTAGCTCATTACTTCTGGTTACAGTTTCGACCTTTACCCTTACTTGTTTCTTTCTACTTAAAAGTGAGATGATTGATACTCCCCTTAATCGACAAATCATGCCAAATGCCGACTTTTCGAATTTCACTCCCATGGAAGAATTATCCAAGTAAGATTCACTATATTTAAGCAAAGTTCATTTTTGATTATATTAAATTCTTTTATTCGTCTATTTCAAGTCGATTATATGGTTGGGCTTCAGGTAGTATTCCCGTGAATCATGGAACATTATTAGAAGTTTCCACAAAAAAAGGAATAACCACCTTTACCGAAATTTCAAAATCCGAATGATTATCTCGTTTGAGTTATTATTTTTTCCGTTAAGAGTTTTGTACATTACGCGAAAATAGTAGACATTTGCAAAATACTAATAATATATTATGCTAGATAGAGCAGGAAGTTTCTGCTATTACCTTTGGTTGTCTTTTTTCTCTTTGTTTTCTGGATAAGTGAATTCTTTTGAAGTGTTGATTTCGAGAGATCTAGATATTATTCGTAAAATGAATGTTATACCTTAGTTAATAAAAAATTACACAAAGTCGATTTTTATCGTTAGGTAAACTCGCATACGTTTTACCAAGTAAAAAGGTTTTTGTATTTAATGAATAATCTTGATAACCAGCAAATAACCTTTTGTTGAATTTCGAATACTAAATTACTAATGTTAAGTAGTTCGGCTGCGACTAGTTTAATTAGGTTCGGTTTAGAATCTGAATCGGAGATTTAAAACCGTTAAAACATCCCTACTAGTGTGAATATAAAATAAAATAAAAGTTTTAGTAAGTAATAAATTTATCCTAGTTTATTTATTATATCGTATAAATATACAGTCGATAAATTAAATTATATTGTTTAATAAAATAGATGTACGTATAAATTAACAGTATATAGAAATATATGCATATATTGCAGTTGGTAAAGTAGTACGTATCATTTATATAGATATTCCGAAAACACGATGCATCTATTTAAGATGTCAATGTTTTTTCAACGATTCAAATTCCGTCGAAACACTCATGGAACGAAAACTACGAATTGTTTAATTATTTAATGCAGGGGCACGACGAGATAAGGTGACCGATAACTTCTTTCAACGCTTGTTAGGGCTAGTTCATTTTGAGGTTGGATCACGTGTTGGATCGTGAATATTACAAAAAGAAAAAAAATTTTTTTTTTCCCTCCTACTTCTCATCCCTCATCCTCGCAAAACTAGATGCCACTATGACCTCAGCACAAAAACCCAAACGAGTAGCAATAATTGGTTCTGGTGTATCCGGCTTGGGAGCATCATGGCTTCTCGCTGAACATTCGCCGCACGTTGTGACCCTCTATGAACAGAACGACTACATTGGCGGTCACACTCACACCGTTGATTATGTTTTACCGGGCACAAAGAACTCAGCGAATCCTATATCTGTGCCCGTTGATACCGGATTTATTGTCTACAATCCACATACCTATCCCAACCTCATAAAATTCTTTTGCCACAAACAAATCGAATCGATAAAAACAAATATGAGTTTCTCGTTATCAAGAAATCATGGGGAATTTGAATGGGCCGGCAAGAATTTGTTCTCAGTTTTCGCGCAACCGAGTAATTTATGGAATATAGACATGTGGCAAACTTTATATGATATCTTCAGATTTAATTTTCATGCCACTGAGTTATTGGAATTGGATAACGAACACCCAGAGAAGAAAATGAGTCTAGGAGAGTATCTGGAAATTCATCAATATTCTAAAGCTTTCAAGGATAACTATTTGGTGGTAAGTGATATTTTATATAAAAAAAAACAAAAACAAAAAAACCATGTAAAAATTTGCTAAACGCTTTTGCATCTTTAGCCAATGACCGCGGCGATTTGGTCAACCCCACCTGACAAATGTTCTCTTGATTTTCCGGTGTCGACTTTAATTCAATTCATGCATAACCATAGTATGTTACAAATAATTGATCAAGCTCAATGGCTTACGGTAAAAGACGGAAGGTATATATATTGTCTTTTTTTTTTATCTTTATAAATTCATCGGATAATCAAACATTAGATTTTTGCAACTCGCAGTCGAAAATACGTGGAGTCCGTCACTCCTCATATAAAAGATATTAGGCTATCCACAAAGGTGGTATCCATTACTCGTAGACCCTCGGATCCCGATGATCCCAATTCACCACCGCTCATAACCATTACCGATCAAAAGGGAAGACGAGACGAGTTTGATCACGTAATATTCGCAACTCATGCGGATCAAGCACTGAAAATATTAGGTGATGAGGCAACGGAAGAGGAAAAACTTGTCTTGGGAAATATAAAATTTGCCAAGAATCGGGCAGTGTTGCATTCAGATACCTCGGTAAGAGAATCAAACCAGTTATACTTGACGTGATCCGGATACCTTATGTTAATGTCGTTGAGTCATTTTGACAATTGTAGTTGATGCCAGCTCGTCGACTCACACATGCGGCTTGGAATTATATCACGACATCCACTGGGTCATCACAGAATACAAATCAAATTTCACTGTGAGTTTTCAACGTCATCTTACACTTTGTGACATTGCTTTTTATACATGTAATAATGGATTCCCTCTTTCAGAACATACTCAATGAACATCCTCCAGTCCATCGATGAATCCATCTATGGTCCTGTGTTGGTGACTTTAAATCCCCTCTGGGAACCCGATCCCGCAAAAACTTTTGATTCCTGGATATACGAACATCCTCAATACAGCGCCGCGACGATTGCCTCCCAAAAATCTTTGCCTAGCATCCAGAATCTTCCTCACCTGGCGACCACTTTTGCTGGGGCATGGACCAAATACGGATTTCACGAAGATGGATTTACTTCAGGTCTTAAGGTTGCCACAGAATTCTTGGGCGCCGAGTGTCCTTTCGAAATCATTGACGCTACATATATCAGAGGACGGAAATCGGAATTAACTTCCGTGCAGAAGTTACAGAAAATGTTATGGTCGGGTGTAGAATGGTCAGTGAATAATTCGAAGCCGTTGGCTGTAATTGGGATTACCATTGCAAGTGTTTATATGCAACACGCTTATAAGATAATCCAGAATCATGGAAGTGGTAGCGATGTTAATCAGAGCAATGAAGTTAAATAGTTGGCGATTTTACGGGGTATTGTAATTGTCGGAGGAATAATGAATTACAATGTTATGATCCAATTTCATAGGGTTATAAAAAAATCATATATAAGTATTTGCATTAAAAATTTTGGGATTTTGGAGTTTAAGATGACAGAATATACATGTTGATAAATTATGATAAATTGATTCATCTATTGGAGATTAATTTTGTATGATCAATAGGCAATCGACTGTATCTATAGAAGAGATTTTTCATTAGATTGGTATTAGAAATATAATAGGTTATGGAAAACGTATTATACAATATGGGATAAAAGGTTTTTTTCTTGTCAATTTTACAAAATTTCGGCTACTGTGCGTTGGAAAATATTGTATTCTAGTGAATTTTTTATATACAAAATCAAAAAATTGTGACTCTTAAAAAAATTTCTTTTTTTTTTAAAAAAAATAAATAAATAAATAAATAATCTCACAATAATAAAATTTAAAAAATTCTTTTAATAAATTAAACAAAGGATACTTTTTTTAAATGCAAAAGTTATACGTATAATGAAAAATATCAAGTTAGATGTATAGCCATATAAATAATATAAATATAATGTACTGTATATTAATTATCATTTTATTTTGTATTTCATAACAATGGATTTTTTTTTTTTTTAATGAATAGATTGTGTCATACAAAGGAAATAAACGTGAAAAATAAATTACGTATAAAAAATTTTTATAGTATAAAAACCAATATAAAATTTAATTGATACTGTTCTTTATTTGTTTTTAGTAAACGAATCTACGATTTTATTATTTTCACAAGAAAAATTTATGTAACTAGTTTTTGGTGTGATCGGTGATTGTTGTGTAACCAACTGAAATTAGGTTACAAATAGTGTTTCAAAAAATGATGATTATAAATATGGGAAAAGTGAATAAAGAAAAAAAAATTAGAAAAGACGGCATGGCAACCGATAAAAGCTGGGAATCTTGGTTTTTTACGAACATAGTTTGAACATAATGAACTTGCCGCAAGTAGAGTGATGATAGTGATGGACTCGCCGAGTAACCGGACCAACGGTTCGATATGATCATTAATTTTTTCGATAAGAAACTTGAATGGGCTTTTTTCTTTAAGAGATCGAACCTGACACCTAAGCACAATCTTGTAACACACGATTGACCGAATCAGTATTAGCACGCGTCAAATAATCGTATATATATGCATAACAAGATAATTCCGCATTACAGTATTTGGAACTGCGCAATTTCAAATAATGCAACAAACACAGCCGTAATACGAAAGATACAGTATAAGGGTTCAGATAAATAACAAAAATCTTTCTTTCTAATTAAAACATAATAAAATAGATAGTTCGGCTTCGATATGCAACTTTTAATTTTCTTATTATCATTCCTGAATTTCTTTATTACGGGAATTTTTGGTTTTACGCCAAGTCCAAGAGCAGCTCAAACATCAGTCTTGGTAGACACTAAACTCTATTATGCTGGTGGATTCACAGACACTTCGCTTAATTCAAATGAAATATTCTACCTGGACCTATCCAATTCGTTTCAAACTAGTAATCCGCCATGGGAATCGTTGGCAGGAAAAAGCATGCCGATTTCATCCGACTTTTCCACTTTTATCCTGAGTCCGATTGATAATTCTACTATATACCTAATAGGCGGTTACATGTTGAATCCTATTACGTTAAAGCAAGACTTTAGCGCAACAGTGTATACATTTGACTCTAAGGGTTTACGATGGAATACGCCTTCTACAAGTGGTAGTGCACCAGTAGGACGACAACAAATAGGTGGCGTGGTGGATAAGTCGGGAAAAGTGTATATTTTTGGTGGATGCGTGATTAACAATTACACCACCTTTACGGCAGACTACTATAATGACATAAACATCTTGGACGTCAGTCTAAATGCTTGGACAACTATTCAGGCAATGCCAAGTTCACCTACCCCACGAGTAAGTTATACCGCTACACTTTTGTCGGATGGTGGTGTTATTGTTTATATCGGAGGAGAAGAATACAACAGTGTTAATAGCAGCTTGACAGTAGTTGACATGAAAAACGTAATAGCACTCTATGATCCTGTGTTTCTATTAGATTGGGTGAAATTTCGCTAATATTTACTATTATATCATTAGATTCAGCTCTTCGATACCAAAAGTTTAACTTGGACCACAATGGTGAGGATCACGAAATAATAACATTAAATTAAAATCACGAATATAACATATCTTTCAATTGTAGAGAGCCACAGGAGTTGACGTACAGGGACGTCTACAACACACGGCTGTTTTAAGTATGTACTGCATATTTTAGTCGTAAGAAATTCGTGTGAATCGATTTCAACGCAATGTTTTAATTAATAATAACTCTCGATTTATCTTTTCAAAGCTAAAGATGGTCAAATAATGATTTATGGGGGAGAAGATGTTTCGAATCGTTTAGTTACTCCTAACCTTGCGTCATTAGACACGACAGTAAATCCATACAATTGGCGTATTCCAACCATTTCAACTGGTCCAAATGATCCGCCACCTTTATCTGAACACTCTGCAAATTTGTATGAAGATTGTATGATAATTGCATTTGGTAAATACAATAAATGAAGCATTCACATCACAAGACCCTTTCGTTAACACATTAATCATCTTTCTGATATTAGGATTTATTCCAAATTCGAGAGGCAATACCACAAACTTGAATAGACAAGTATACATTCTTAATATTACAAGTAATTCATGGGTCACTACATTTAATGCATCTCCAAAGCCCTCTGGAACCCCCAGTCCAAGTGCAACGCCTACGAAAACCCCTGATAGTGGTGATAATCAGAAACCATTAATAATTGCCGTGGGTGTTTCAGTTGGAATTATTGGATTAATTGCCATTGGCACGTTGATCTTTTGTTTAACAAAAAGACGACGAAACAAGTCGGAAGTTGAAGTTTTAAGAATTCCGAGTGACAATGTGGAACATTGAGAAACATCCTGAAATATGCCGGAAATGTTGGTATTCATTCATTATGTATTTATTGTATATTGATAGCTACATTATTTTGTTTATTCAAATTATAAATATAGTATATAAAAAGATATTTATCAAAGGTGTACAATATATGCGTAAAGAATACATTATATTATAAACAATAAATAAAATTAAATTGCATTTCATTCATTAAATAAGGTGAATCGCGTTACAATATATAATGCATATATATACGTATAATGCCCATGCTTTTATTGTTTTCGTGACACGATTTAATGGACTGAACCGTTATTTGTCCACCCCTTACAATGCATGATAATAATCACGTGAAATAATTGATTAAAGGAGTTTTTTGTTTCATTTAATGCACATACTGTATTGAATAAATAAAGATATTCTTTATAGTACTATGCATACATATCTGTGTTCAAGTCCCAAGTAGGACTAAAACCGTTAAATATTTGTGCAAGATATTTACAATTCCCACACGACTTTGATGTACTGTATACTCTTCGGTACATTCAAATGACCTCGCAACATCTAAACTCCTTCGACATATGATGTAAGAACATCCGTAACCTGAAATGCGATCAAGTTATCATCGCACGAGCAATCTTTGAACAAATCTTTCGCTTGTTCTTCAAAACCATCCTCAAAGACTCGAATTTGGATAAAAGAATGATCTTGTAATTTTAATCTGATGATGATATTTATTGATTAAATAAACAGATTTGTAGTATAATTCGTGGCATCTTTTTCTTAACCAAAATCTCTAATTTGTTCTATTTCTTGAATTATTTAACTATATTATTAAAATCAGCATTATTATACTCGATTTATTGACCATCTGGTTTATAATGTGTAAACACCTGGATCAAGTGAGATTACTTCCTCAAACATTATCCTAATTATCAACTATATCCAACAGAATGGAAACACACAAGTAAAAATGTTTCAAATGATTCATGACTATATTGACCATATTTTTAATACCTGATAATTGCCAATATTCTTATTTTTTTTAAAATATATCAATTCAAAATTCTTTAATATATTTTTAATAAATTTTGTTTTTATTATATTATTAAAAATCTATAGAATAATATTTACTTTATTATAATTAATTCTAGAAATTATTTTTTATTTCAAATTTTATAATTCTAAAATAATAATATGCTTTAGAAATACATATTTCCCACTGTTTCTATTTTAATCCTTAGCAAGAATCAAGATAGTTTATATTTGATCCTTTTTTAAATGATATTTTATTTAAGAGTTATATTATTATTATTATTTTAATTTCATAATCAAATTGTTATCATATATTTATTAAAATATATTGAATCATTATAGCTAAAAAATAATTATATATATAACTTTACTTGATCTAACTTTTCTATAAATAATAAAAAACTTTTAGATATAGTTCATAAAAATAATGGTTACTTGTCTATTGAATAGAAATAAGATTTAGATATTTTATAAATTCATTATTTATAAATCATCTTTATAATATCATATATTATAAATTCAAATTATATTATTTTTTTAATAAAAACAAATCTTAAAGTTTTTTATAATTGCTATTTATTACATTCACTTCTTATTATTTATAAATTAATTATATCATTTGTTTGATTTTTATTAAAATAATAATATTTATAAATAATCAAAAATATTTAAAAAATTTTTTTAATTGTTTGTTTTTTTTTCTTAAAATTAATTTATTATAATTCTTATTAAATAAATAAATATCTTTTTTATTTATTTATAAATTATAAAAAATATATTTTTTAAAAAAATAATATTTTTATGTTTTTACAATAAATTAAATATTAATTTATTTATAATAATAATCTTTTTTAAAATTTATTATCTTTTTTAATTAATTATTATTTTAATTAAATTTTTTTAAAAAATTAAATATAATCAAAAATTTAAGATAATAAATAAAATTTTTTTAAAAATTAAAAATATATATATCTATAGTTCTATTCAAAAAAAATCAAATAAAACTTTTAATATTGTAATGAAATAATTAATTCTATTATATTATTTAATTTTTATTATTACTTTATTATTATTATTTTGGTTTCTTTTTATATTATTTTATTATTATTTTATGAATTTATTTTTGAAATTATTATTTATAGGAAAAAATAGTATCATAATTCAAGATAGTTATACATTGGAGATCACGTGACCAAGAGATTAGCTTGTGAATTCTCATCAATTCTTTAAATTTCTATAACTTTGTATGGTAAACGATCTTCAGAGCGAAATATCTTATTATTTTATTAAAAAACTAATTAAAGTCGTTCTATCAAACTATAAGAAAAATGATTAGATGAACGTATTTTATTAAGATCACTAAAGTTAATTACTTAATATAATTTCAAGTAATTTAGGAATTTCATTACAAACAGAATTATTATTTATTATTAATAAACAAATAAAAGAATGATTGTACAATTAAAAACAATATATAAGGATAGTCATTTCACTCTTCTAGAGGACAACATAATAATTATTTTTTTTTCTGTAATCAAACAAGTATTTATTATGTTTATTTAATCATTGGAGTTGAAAACATACAAGTATAAAACTTTTATACATAAACTAAGTTAATACTTGAATACCTATTTCTGATTGTTAATCTTTAAGTATGATCTTGGAGATAAATAATATTGCTTGTTCATTTTCTCCATTTCTAAGAGGATTTGAGTTTATTGCCTGCAGTTCATCACTACAGTTCACCTTGACAAAATCTTAATTACTTTATATTTCTAACTATTTGATTCCCTCATTTATCTTATTCTATAAGATTTATGCAAAGATTTCTGAAATCTTGTTACTTTTGGTTGCTGAGCTTGTGTCTGCCGGTATTGCTATTGTTTTCTTTTCCTTTTCCTGTGGTCTGTGTTTCTCCTTGGATTTGAAAACTTCCCTTGATATCCTCAAGTTGTAATCTGTCTCTCTTTTTTTTCCTTTGTTATATGCTTTCTTTCAGTTATAGATTTTTTCACATCTTTTATTTCAGATTTGTTGATAAAACTCATTACTCCAGCCTTGAGATATTTTGTTTAAGATCTTTCAGGCTGCTGCTTTGTGTATGTTGAATATGTGACATATCTGAGTCTACTCTAATGTTTCTTCTTTCATCTATAATTCCATACCACTGTTTATTGGTTCTTTTGCTGAAGACAATTTTTTGACTTTTCATCTTTTCATTATTCTATAAATTAATATTAGATTTCATTTGGCTTTCTTCTTGTCTTTGTTGGTATGCTTTGTGATTCAGAATGTGCACAGCTTATTAAGGATATTTTCCTATATTCTGTTTTTTACTTTTTGAAGTTTGTTGCAAGTTGTCAAGTGATTTACCGTTTCTTTATAATTTAGACAAAAGATACATTTGATATTTGCTACTAGTTTTTGGATGTTTTGCTGGACTAGATTATCCAGAGTTGGCAGTTCGTTGTATAAGAGCTTGATTTTAAATGTTCTTTCTTTCATCTGTTTAAATGGGATAGTTAGTGATCCTTTGTTATTGTTATGTTGCCAGAAACCTCTCCAATTAATTTTGTCTTGGTTTGCTATTTTTTTTTTTCATCTCTGTTGTATTTTGTTAAGGGATGCCCATTGTATTAGAATCTCTTTCATATTAACATCTTTAATGAATTCTCTAATTGAGATGTCTATAGAGATCTTGTTCCATTTTGATACTGTGATTAGAATTATTGTTGACAATAGTTTCCATACAATTATTGACTCTTCTTTTGCTGCTTTGGCTAACTGATCTACTTGATCATTTAGCATGTTTTTGCTATAGACTTTGACTTTGATGAGTTTTAATTGAATTTTTTTCCTTGTGACTGCATTAGAAAATTTCTGAAAAAATCTTTAAAAATCTTCAAAAGTTTTTAAAATAAAAAACTCTGGAAATTTTTATTTCAAAAAAATTTAAAAATTTTCAAAGTAATAATAATTATATTAAAATAAATTATTTAATAAATATTCATTACTTTCACTTTACATATCTTCAATATTATTAGAAATAATAAAAAATTTTGACTTATTTAAATCTTCATTAGACTTGTTACTAAAGTCCATAGTTAAAATATATTTGCTAACATGTCTTGTATAAGAGAAATGTTTTGAAAAGATGCATTGACAAAATTGACATTTGTAATTCATTTTAAAAGCCTTTGAATGGATCTAGAAAATATATAAAATTAACCAATAAAATATTGATTAATTTTGACCAATCAAAAATTTAATTTAAAAGTTGCAATAATTATATCAATAAAATAATAAAATGATTTTATTTTCGTATAATGATTTAATAATTTAAATTTATAAAATAATTTTCGAAAGGTGACAAAGAAAAGTTTGTGGTTATAATATGACATAATTTCTTGAAATTTGTATTATATAAGGTCTCTAAAGTTCTTACTTTTTTTTTAATGTCAAACAAAAAATAAAAAACATGTAAAATGTTTCAAAAACTTATTTCTGGTTCTGCTAAAAAGGGAAAAGGAAAAAGTTAAGGAAATACTTCAAAGTCCTCTAAAAAAGCAAAGAGTACTCAAAGAACCCAAAAGCCAGCTACAGAACAAAGACTCTCAACTCCTATTGAATTGAAAATGAAAATACCTTGGAAGTGATTAAGATCCCCTGAACATTTCTTCAAATTATTTTTGACACACCAGTATGGAGAACATCTAAAGAAACTTTGGATATATTTAAAAATTTGTCATAATTTAAAATAAATACTAACTTATATATTTAGTCCCTAATAAAGCTATTGAAAGAATTATGGAGTCCCATGAAAGCCTTTATAAGAAAATCAATCAATTGTTAGAATGGCAAAAAATCATAGAGGATAAGAGTACTCACTTAGAAAATGAAATTCATACAAGTCAATATTTAATTACCAAATATAATTTTATCGAGATAAGGTTCATTTTTGAATTTTTTTAAAGATCTTCGAA